TAAGATGAAGATTATAAGTCATGCATAATTGCTGCCTATTCTTTCTACTTGCTCCTAGTATTTGTTGATTTATACCTTTCCTACAGTGTGGCTACTGCCTGGGAGTCTGTACACTACTCCTACCATTGTCTTTTTTCCCTTGCGATTATTTACCTCCACCCATGTCATCAGAGCCTCAACCATTTCCCACACGTCACCATTTCATCTGTTATTAACAGTACTTCAGGCCTTGTACCTTACTTTTTGCAGCAGGGTGACCAGGAAAGGGAATATGAATATCTCGGGATGTTCAGTTTTAAAAAAGGACAGACCAAAAGCATCAGGAGGTGGGATAGCAACTCTGATTAAAATGGAAATTAATATGAATGTGAGGGAGGATATTAGTTTTGGTGAAGCAGAATCTGGAAAGGCTTAGCCTAGAAACACCAAGGGACAGGAAAAGATGGTAGGGGTTGCAGATAGACCAGCAAACTATAATAGAAATATTGGGGAAGGCATTAAAAATGAATTTAAAGATGCAAGTAATAGAAGCACCATATAATTATGGGTAGCTTCCATCTGGATATCGGTTGGGCAAATTGAGGAATTCTTAGTGTGCACATGGGATAGTTTTATGGATCGATACATTGAGCAACCAATTAGAGAAAAGGTTATCTTTGACTGAATATTGTGTAACAAGGAGGAATAATTGACAATCTAGTTGTGGGCTCTGAGGGAAAAGTGACTACAACAGCATAGAATTCCTCACTAAAGGTGGAGAGTGATATAGTTATTTCTGACACTAGAGTCCTGAATTTAAATAAAGCAAATTATGACGTTATAAGGCACGAGCTAGCTATTACTAATTGGGGATTGTTATTTAAAGTGATGACGATAGGTAGGCATTGAAAACATTTAAAGATCACTTGGATGAACTGCAAATGATATTCATCTGTGATATAAAAATAAAATGGGAGATGTGGTCAGACCACAGCTAACAGGGGAAATAAGAGATAGTCGTAAATCCAAGTAAGAGACATATAAATTGGACAAAAAAATGCAGCAGAACGGAGGAAAAACCAAAAGAACTATGGATGCTGTAAATCAGGAACAAAAACAAAGTTGCTGGAAAAGCTCAGCAGGTCTGGCAGCAACAGTAAAGGAAGAAACAGAGCACACTGGACCCAAAATGTTAACTCTGTTTTTTCCTTCACAGATGCTGCCAGACCTGCTGAGCTTTTCCAGCAACTTTGTTTTTGAGCAGAACTGAAGATTGAGAACAGGTTAAATTCCAGCAATGAGAGACAGAGACTGAATAAGAGAAGGAAAATAGAGTATGAGAGTAAGCTTGCAAGGAACATACAAACTGATAGTAAAAGTATCTATAGGCGTGTGAAGAGAAACAGATTAGTAAAGACAAATATAGATCTGTACAGTCAGAAACAGGGGAACTTATAATAGAAAATAGCAGCAAGAATAACCTATTTGGCCCCTTGATCCTGCTCTGTCAATCAATATGATCATGAATAATCATCAATTTCAATACCATAACCCAATCTTACCCCACATCCCTTTATCCAAGAGCTATATCTACTTCCATCTTGTGAGAGTGAGGAATGGGAGTGGAAGTTGTGAGAATATTAACAGAGGAGGAAGTGTTTTGAAGCATATAGATGTTGTGTTATTTTTTATTCATTCGTGAGATGTGGGTACCGCTGGCTGGCCAGCATTTACTGTAATGAAACATCTCACAGGCAGTTGTTAATGGCAGTCAATCCAACTTTTGGTAGTCAGAATAATAGCCAAGCATGACGAAACAAACACTTCTGCAAGAATGAAAACCTCCAATCTTCATCCATGGTCTGTTTGGTTTGTTATGTGTGATAAATTGCTCTTTAGCTTGTTCTTTAGCATGCTCTTTAGTCATTACAGATATTGCCCTGGATTTCATTGGTCATATTTCCCAGCAGAGCACTTCTTTTGCTTTCCTCAGACTAGACTCAATTGGCTTGCATGGATGCATCTCATTTGTCATCTCCATAGGGATAATGACTTAACTTTCTTTGTAACAGATGTCACTTCGGTCTACCATCCATTTCCATGTGTCCAAGAAACTCCTGTAGCAAATATATGTCCTTGATGTTTTCAGGCCATCCTTCCATCATTATTTCATCTCCTTCTCTGAAATGGTGACTGCTGTGAGGAAATGCAGTTCAACAGCTGCAGAAAATCCTTTAAGATCTTTCCCAAGGCATCTATCTTCCATCAGTGAGTTTTGAAAACCCATTTGATCATGAAAGCTGGCTATAAGAACATAAGAAATGGGATTGGAAGTTAACTGTGCAGCCCCTCAAGCTTGTACCGTCATCACATCTAAACAGTTAAACACTCATGCAATTGTCAAGGGCATGTTTTGCTTTTGTTGTTGTAAAATGAAAACTGAGAAAGAGGAGAGGCATTTGACCACTACTCACCGATCAGGGCAAATGTGTCAACTTATTATTTGTGAATTGAGGACCTTTGTCACTTATTATAACGTTAGGAATGTCATGGTGACTGAAGTTTGCTTTTAGACACTCTATAATGTCATTGGTTAATCATTGATGTCAGCTACTACAACACCACTTTATGTGAATAGTAGTCTACTGTGACATGATAACCAGCACCAGCAACAATGAAGAGTTCTACTCGATGATTCATCCACGGTTTCTCTGGGACATTATGAGTCATGAACAGCTTTAACATGCTTAGTTTGATGTCCATTACAAACCTGTACTAAGAGATTTATTTTATTGTTTCTGTTTGGTCAGTGGAGCATTTCCATTGCCTTTCTCAGGTCGGATACAATTTCTTGATGGCTTGTATGTACGTGCTTCAGAATGTCTTTTCTTATCCCTTCAAGGAGGCTTACTGCAGCTCCTTTGTACAAGATAGCATTTTGGGCCCTTATTCATTTCTGCATGCCTAGTATTCTCTTATATTATGTTCTCTTGAGGCTTTAAATTTATCCTTTCACCATTCCTGAAGCATTTGAAGAGTTTCCTGAGTTGCTTGTTTTCAGTTAGATACTTGTCAGACTCAACGATTGTAACCACCAGTGCATGTTGTCCTATGTTTCTCATTGAATCTGGAAGATAATGCACTCTGTTCTAGAAAAATCAGTTTCCTTCAAAAGAGAAAGCAGCTCTCAACAGCATGTCAGCTGCATATGTCTGCTTCCCTCACTGGTTTTTAGCTTTCAAAAGCTAACTCTACAAATTAAGCAACCATTCTTTGGAATAGAAGTGGTTTGAAGAAGATGGTCTGAAGTGACTTGAGGTCGGACTCTACTGTCACTTTCTCCTAAACAGGTGTTGGTTTTAACACTCTCGAACAAAGATAAGAACCAGGCACTTTTCTTGATTTGTATGTAGTGTTGTTCTATTTAAATTAATGATCTGAGTGCAAAAGCAGCTGGGTGTCCTTGCAGCATGATGGTTGATTCAAAGTCTGTTTTGCTGATATCATATTGCTGGATGACCTTGTTGCTGGCATCACGACACATCTTGTTCACGACTGCTTGTTCACAAACCTAAAAAGTAATTGAAAGACCTTCAGTTCTGTAGGTTGCTGCATCTCTGTTACATCTCTCATCTAACTGGTTCGGGGCACAGTTTGTTACTGTCAGCTTATGACCGAAATATGTGACTTCAGTTACAGTTAATTTTTGGTCAGCTCCAGGTTCAGAGGTTGAACTCTCTTTAGCAGTCATACTAAATTTTGATTCTGGTTTGGTGTTTGCTTCTGCTATTGTGTCACCACACAGACCAGCAGATCATCCACAAACATTTTCACTCCTGGAAGATCAATAGCTATCTCATGGTGCCTATGTTGATAAACTTCTGAAACAGTAGAAATGCCACACACAACCTCCTGTACTTCTTAAATCTTGCCCAGAACTTAGTACACTGCTGCTTTCATCCAACTGCACTTGTCAGTATCTGCCTTTCATATCTAGGTTAGAAAAATTCTTTGCCTTGGCAAATTGTGGCAGAATTTCTTGTATGGGGTAGTCAGATCTCTTCAAAGTTTTCCTCAGGTCCTTTGAATCTATGCACTGTCTCAGCGTTTCCGGATTTTTTCACAACTGCCATGCTGAAATCTAATGTGCATGTGTTGTCACACCTCTGAACAGGACTATCTTTTAAAGCTGGTCTATTGTGTCCTTCAGACTGGCCCTGAAGCAGCTAGAAATCTCCTCAGAAAATGTTTACTTGGTTTCACTTGCTCATAAACTTCGAGACGATATTCACCAGGAAGACACGGGAAAATACCTTTGTAAGATATTAGGATGTGTTTAGCAATCAATAGCTTAGCAGACATGGGGAGAATGTGCCAACTCCACACAGTCAGTTGCCTGAGGCAGGAATTAACCCTGGGTCCCTGGAGCTGTAAGGCAGCAGTGTTAATCACTGGGCCACTGTGCCACCCCAATAAAGCTAGTAAAATTGACATGAACTTGTCAGGCCACTGTAAGAGCCCAACTAGTTCACAAATATCCTTCAGTGAATTCTTCTGACTTTACCTGGACTGGGACATAAATGATTTCATGAAGCCCTGCACAGTTATACATAGAGCAAGTGTTCTTTCCTGTTGATGCCTGAACAACTTCCATCTCCAGAGCACACAGAGCACTCTGTGCTGTGAGTGCAGGATAATTATTAATAAGAAGACTTTCAGTATTGTAGTTGTGAACCTCTGAATGTGACATTACTACACAAGTGAAAATCTCACTCACATTTCCCATTATTTCATTGGTATATTAATACCATAAACATTAGGATTAAAACTTTATCTTTTCATGTTATCCTGCAGACCAGCAATTTATCTGAATTTATGAGGCCTGATTGTTAAAAGAGCAGTTGATGTTTACAACGTACCGAACCTGAAACGCAGACTTAGAACTTTGAGTGCGCTGAAGTATTTCATCACTGATATTCAGGAAAGGAATAAACTGCAGCGCTTTTTAACCAAGCTTGGATATGGACGCAAGTACACGAAAACTACATTTAAAACGTGAAGTCGGATTAATCAGTGCTGTTTGTTTGATTGTTGGGACAATGATTGGCTCAGGCATCTACATGTCCCCAGAATGGGTGTTACAGTATATTGGGAGTCCTGGAGCTAGCCTTGTGGTATGGACAGTCTGCGGATTGGTCTGCACAATAGCTGCTCTTGCATATGTAGAACTTGGCAGTGCCATAAAAGAATCTGGTGGAGAGTACATATATATCCTGAAAAAGTTTGGTCCTATTCCTGCCTTTCTGTTCTCTTGGACCTCAGTGTTTATAGCTAGACCTGCTGGAATTGCAGCAATGTCTTTGAGCCTAGCGCAGTATATTGCAGCTCCATTTTATGATGCATGCTTACCCCCGTCTTTTGTGGTTAAATGCACAGCAGCTGCGAGCATCTTATTACTCGGTATTATAAATGGTCTTAATGTAAAACTGGCAACCCGCATTCAAAACATTTTCACTTTTGCTAAGCTACTGTCTCTACTTATCATTGTCATTGGAGGGATAGTGTTGCTGTTCAAAGGACACATGCGCAGTTTTCAGAATGCCTTTCAAGGAACAATGGCAGGATTTGGCTCAATGGGAATTGCATTCCAACAAGGAATGTGGTCCTATGGTGGATGGAATAATTTAAATTATGTGACTGAAGAAATCAGACGCCCTGAGGTAGGTGCAAAACAGTTTTTTTTAGTTAAAACTAGATGATTTACAAATCAATACTTTGCCATGTACTAATGACCATTAGCAGCATAATACACCGACTCCTGCCTCCAGCTTATGTTCAGCAGTTAATGTGGTACCTCCAGTGTATAAATTCTTGGAAGTAATTTGATGCAACTGTGTTTTGTAATTCTAATTGAGTTGCTGCAGAAATCATTCTGTGCCTGTATTTCAGTTAAGCCACTTTGGACAGGTTCTTTCCACTAAAAAGGCTAAGAACATTGAACGGATTTTGAAAGTATTGGGAAAGTTTTACATTTTAGATTTAGGTTTTTATTGTCACATGTACTCAAAGTACAGACATACAGAAGTACAGTGAAAAGTGTCTAATGTTGCCGCACACGGCACTATCTAAGGTACAAAGGTACCCAGGTACAAAAATCTTAGGTACAAAGTAGTAAAAGAAACAAAGTTTAAAAGGTCAAGTATTACTCTCATAGAATAATTAGAAAATAAAGCAGTAAAGGTAATAGTCCTTCTTAACATAAACTAGAAAAATAAAGGAATAAAGTTAAAAGTTCCACAGTCTTTGAGTCCACAACTTATCTTGCTCTCTGAGAGACCTCAGCTGCCTGTTTTCACCACTGCCGCAGATACCAGGGAGACCTCCCTCACTCAGAGATAGTAGGAACTGCAGATGCTGGAGTCTGCAATAACACAGTGTGGAGCTGGATGAACACAGCAGGCAAGGCAGCATCAGAGGAGCAGGAAAGCTGACGTTTCGGGTCTGGACTCTCTTCCTGCATCAGGCCACGATGCCATCGCTCCTACTGAAGCTGCCACCTCCCCAATCCCTCTCCAGCTCCCCTCGAGACATGCCCGGACAGGATCCACTTGCAAACCGAGCTACCTCCTCACCGGGCCGGGATACTGCCTCACCGGGCCGAGATACCGCCTCACCGGGCCGAGATACTGCCTCACCGGGTCGAGATACTGCCTCACCGGGTCGAGATACCGCCGCACCGGGCCGAGATACCGCCTCACCGGGCCGAGATACCGCCTCACCAGGCCGAGATACTGCCTCACCAGGCCGAGATACTGCCTCACCGGGTCAAGATACTGCCTCACCGGGGCCAGATACCGCCTCACCGGGCTGAGATGCCGCCTCACCGGGCCGAGATACCACCTCACTGGGGCGAGATACCGCCTCAACGAGTCGAGATACTGCCTCACCGGAGCGAGATACTGCCTCACCGGGTCGAGATACCGCCTCACCGGGGCGAAATGCCACCTAACTGGGGCGAGAGACCGCCTCACCGGGCCGAGATACCACCTAACCGGGCCGAGAGACCGCCTCACCGGGCCGAGATACAGACTCACCGGGCCGAGATACCGCCTCACCGGGTCAAGATACTGCCTCACCGGGCCGAGATACCGCCTCACCGGGCCGGGATACTGCCTCACCGGGGCAAGATACCGCCTCACCGGGCGGGGATACTGCCTCACCGGGGTGAGATACTGATTCACCAGGCCGAGATACCGACTCACTGGGGCAAGATACCGACTCACCGGGTCGAGATACCGCCTCACCGGGGCGAGATACCGACTCACCGGGTCGAGATACCGTCTCACCGGGCCGAGATACTGACTCACCGGGCGAGATACCGACTCACCGGGCCGGGATACCGGCTCAGCGGGCCGAGATACTGCCTCACCGGGGCAAGTTACCGCCTCACCGGTCCGAGATACCGCCTCAACAGGCCGAGATACCGCCTCACCGGGCCGAGATACTGCCTCACCGGGCCTAGATACCGCCTCACCAGGTCGAGAGACCAGGCTGACAGAATGAAGAGAGGAAATACCAAGAGGAAAAAGGAGAGAGAAAGAGGCAAGAAAGAGACAGAGGGAGTTGACAAACTATGGCTGAAGCATCCTGCTCTGCCACCATCTTAGTAGTGAATAGACACTACGGGACTATGGCTGGGATTCTGTGGACTAAATGTCGGAGTCAGCTATTACCAACCTCACCCACCGCGCCCCCCCAAAAATGGCAGATAGGTCACCTGGAATTTCCTGTTAGGAAAGACTCACTTTTCTTGCCTGTTGGGAAGGTAAATAATCAGGCCAGTGGCAACTCAAGGAGATGTTAATTTACCTTCTTTCCCAGAACTCAGTTGCAGAGGTGGGAGGAAGGGATGAATATCTCCACAGGAACAACCCTCCCAGTTATTTGCCCTTCCACCTATTTTCCACATCCCCTCTGAGGGATGTGGGTGAAAACTAATGCAGGTCATTGAAGAGGGAAGAACAGTCTGATAGAGTGTTAAAAACCAGAAGAAGTGTCGTACTGATTCCCCGATATCAGGATGGACATGTTAAATTATTCCAGAGGTGGGCAGGGAGGCAGGATGGCATTGTCATTTTAATTATTTTGGATAAAATGAATACTCATTAAACCACAACTGTTAGTGATTGAGCACAATCTTTGTGGTTTGAGTTGGAAGTGCATCGGGCCTTCACTTTCATGACTGGTTAAAGCTGGTAATGAATTGAAAAGTCAGTCCCTGAGGTGGAACATGAGTCAGCTGGCATTGTTCTGAGATTTCTTTTAGAAGGAGAAAGAAAGCTGAGAAGCAACACCGGTAAGATCGATAGTAGTGAGGCTGTGAGTCACTACGGGGAGTTTAAGGTACAATGAAAGGAAGAGTTGAGTGAACTCCATGGTGACCAGGGTGGGCCAGATTCTACCACAGTAACAAAGAGGAAGTTAGTGAACAAATCAAAAATGATCTCATTGACAGAATAGGTTCAAGGGGCTGAATATATTCAAATTGTTTCTATTCAATGAAACAACTTAAAACACCATGTACAATAAGCAGCTTCAGTAGCTTCATTAATAGAAATATATAGCTGCAGCTGGTACCTTTGTCTGTCATGGTTGGGGATTCTGTGGTCATTTTAAATTCACAAAAACTATTTAATCATCTGTGATTTCAGTATGTATTTTGGTCAAAGGCTTGTTTAAAATGAGTAGGTTCCTCCAAACCCCCAACCAATAGCACATTTGCCCACAAAGCATTCAGGAAGCACCTTGGTTTTGACAATTTTCCAATGTGAGGTTTTTCAGGAAGATACAGCCCAAACCTTCTCACATTCCATCACTTAATCCGAACTATCACATCCTTTCTCCTCCAGCACTCCAACACCACCACCACCCCATAATTGCATAAATGCTGCCCCCTCCACTTCAGCTCTGACGAAGAGTCATCTAGACTCAAAACATTAGCTTGCTCTCTCTTCATGGATGCTGCCTGACCCGCTGCGATCTCTAACATTTTTTGTTTCCAGTGCAGATTCCAGCATCTGAAGTAATTTGTTCCTACAGTCCAAAGACGTGCAGGTTAGGTGGATTGACCATGCTAAATTCTTCGGAGGATCAGTGTGTTTTTGATGAGCCAAATGGCCTGCTTCCACACTGTAAGGATTCTGTGATTCTATGATTCTATACCAAGGAGAATTTTAAGCCCAGGAAAGAGATGTTTGGAGTCAGGTTGAAAGTGAAAATTGATGTATCAGCTGGCTCTAATGCGCCCTCTTCTGGATATAACACAAGTGTCTGTGTTCATTGAGATTGGTGGGTTAGTAATTGATACAAATTTTAAAATCCTAATAACACCGCAGTGATTGCATTTTCAATTGATTTAAAAAGCATTTCAAATTTAATGTATCTGGTACTGATTTTCCAGGGCCCAGGGAACTTTCTGGTGAAAAAGAAACTAGTTATATTGCGATGTTTAAAGTTCAAATTGTCTTATCTCAGTAAAACCTTGGTGTTTGCAGCTGCTTTGCCAATTCCCTCTGACAAACATTTTGCAGAGTGTTCTTGTCAGCTTTGGGGCTTCTGAGAAGTTTGGTGCTTTCAAACTGACACCAGCAAGAGGCAAACTGCTCCAGAAACTTTCAACAGGATATCAGACAAAGCAGCCAGTCTCCACGCCCAGCAGCTGTGATGTGCTGTGGTGGGATCAGCAGATGTGCAAGGTGGGGTGGGGGCATAAGAGCAGAGAGAAGATTCAGAGGCTCTACTCGTATGACCTATCTAACGACCAGTGTCTCCATCAGCTGAGATTGACATATCTGTAGCCTCTTTCATTAAGACTGCCCCTTTCTGTATGTGGCCAGGTCTTGCTCACTGCTGTCAACCATTGTGACGACTATATTTATTTCCCACTGGCTCATCCAAGTGTGGCTGTGGAGGCATGTTGTGGATTTCTCAGTGGATTATCTACCAATGCGAGAAATGGGTGATTGATGAATTATTTGCTGGGGATGAGAATTACTAATGTCTCTGTTTATGAAGTCCAAGGAGCCAGACACTTTGCTATATTTGCCACCTTCAAAGATCGATACACATGCACCTCCAAAACCCTTCTGTTCCCACTCACTCTATAGAACTGTGTCATTAAGTCTCTGTTGCTGCTCTCTATCTCTTTTGTTAAACTACATCACCTCACACTTGTCTATATTAAATTCCACCTGCCGCTGATCTCCTATTCTACTTGACTGTGTCTTGTTGTCATTCAGTATCATCTTCACTGTTACCTATATCTCCAACTTTTGTAACCGGCAAATTTGGAAATGGTAATTTGCGTTACAATATCTAAACTTAATACATGTACATACAATTCTAATATACATATATCTATCTCTACATATATAGAACAATGGAAGTATTTTTCTGTGACCTCATTGTGTTGGGAGCACAGTGAGTGCCTGGTGGTAGACTCTTGTTGGAGGGTCATTAACATTTGAGCCCATCCTGTAACCGCATACCAACCTCAGGATCATTGTGGAAGAGCTGCCTCTCTGCATGGTGGTTTGACAGCAGTGCCCATTTTCAATTTCGAGTGTGTTAAAAATGCTGGGAGGGATCCTCGATGTTGAGGTTTTCCCCTCTCTCTCCCTTACCTGTGCTGTTAGACTGCTGCACCCTCCGTGCTGAGGGC